CTCTCTCTCTCTCTCTCTCTCTCTCTCTCTCTCTCTCTCTCTCTCTCCCGCGCCTGTTGGATAAACACTTGAACAAAATGCGAGCAATAAGTAGCGATGTGATTTTCCACAAATTTTATTTACTTGCATTAATTTTACAATTAGTACAAAACATAAAACTGAGAACCTTATTGATATGTCATAATTTTGGAAACTTTGGTCTCGATCAATTCAGAGCGAATACATGTGTGACAGTACTCTGATGCTTGCTACTCGTGAGGAAGAAGGTACGATGAAGGATAAGTATGAATTTCGCGGGCTTCGCTCGCTCACGCGGTCATTTACCCAATGCCACTACACTGTGTTGACTAATTATGCGAATTGATCAGACTCGTGACGACGACTCGCCTTTGCCAGGGTGAAGTAGTGAACTAGAACCCTAGACCACAAGATTTGTTACACGAGTAGCAGACCACTTCCACAGAGGGCAAGTAGACTCGGACAGTCCGTCGCTGGAGCATGCACATGTCGGCCTCCTCGCACGGGTCGTCAGGGAACGGCCGGGTAAGAACGAGGCGCCGCAGGGCCAGGAAACCGCAGGCCGCCAGGTCCGGGCCCAAATCGGGAAAGTAGCGGCCTGTGTTGTCTTCTGTGTAAAGAGTCGCGAAGTAGAGCTCCTGCAAAGACGACGCATTGGCACGAATCAGGGACAGCATAGTGCCCTTGTGCGTTACCCGACAGTCGAGGCCGAGCCACAACAACCCGCCATGCTGCTGGCGGAGGAAGATCACAGGTGCACCAGTGTAACGGCGTATCTTCAGACTGCGCAACCTCGACATCAGCTGCACACTGCGCAGCTGATAGAAACTTGGACAAGATATTGCGAGCTCCTCGAGCTGCAACGGCAGGTCCGGGTAGTCGAAGCAATCATAGTCTGGTGAGCATCTCACGAGCAGTCTTTTAAGTGATGTAATTCTCTTGACCTCTCCCATCACACTAGGTTCAGCGACATCGGAAATCTCCAGTTCCTCGAGGTGCGGGGCAACGATGCGCAGCAGCTGCTCCGTCCGACGGCCGTTTACGTTTGTCAATGTGCGGACACTTTTCCAGCGCGACTCGTTCCGCAGAATACTTCTAGCGTCAACATCGCCATTTGGTATGACGAGGGTGGTGAGCGTGGGTGGCCCCACGATGACCTCAACCTAGAGTGGTGAGCTCACGATTAGCACCGTACACGGACGAGACCCAAACCCACACTGATTGGTAACGGTTGGGAACTCACCCTCTGCAGTTGCCCGCCCGCCCGCAGCTGCAGCAGGAGGAGGCGCAGAACGTGGTGAAACGGAAAGAGCGTTACGGACGCTCGCCAGGAGTCCACGCCTTGCTCTGCGACAACGCTGCACGCGCTGCTGCTCAGAAGCCGGACGCTGTCCTCCAGCTGCACCACCAGCTGCACCTCGTCCGGCGTGGGGGAAGCCTCGGCGCCTGCCCCCTCCCGCTGGTGCTTCTCCAGGGCCTCCTCCAGCTCGCGGAGGTGAGCGAGGGCCGAGTTCATCTGGCAGTTGAGGGCCGCCACTGCCCTGGGGACCAACTGCTGCAGCTGGCGCACCAGCTCCCTCCCTGCGTCCACGCCGCGCCGCAGGTGCTGCAGCTTGGCGTCCTCGAGTCTGGGCCGCTTGCGCGACTTTGCTCCGTCCCTCTCCATTATCATTCGGATGGCTAGGATGTTGTCCGGAAAGGCGCTGGGGTTGGCGGTTAGGTCCTGCGTGGAAACATTGAACTCGCCTGCTATAAACTTGTTTAATGGCTAACATAAAATGGAGCCATGTTATTAAGCAAAACATTTACTGACCGTCGTGCAGGCTGCCGGACACTTCCTTTTCAAGGCGGGATTCTGCGCGCAAGTTTGGCAAATGCTGTGTCCACAGGGCACGACCTTTGGGCGATGGTTGTCCAGGTCAAACTGGAGAGAGCACATGTCACACTGTAGTTCCATCTCTGAAACACACGCAAACAAAGGAGGGCCGCACTCAGCAGGAGGTCGGTGAATTTAGATTCTGCCCGGCAGCGTTCTGCCATGACTCAGCGTATGATCACACTGCAGTGCTGAACTTTGCGATCCCCTTGAGGTAAGGGGTCCCCGAAATGAAAATTTCCAAGGTGACGCGACGGAGGTTTGAGAGAACGTTTGTCGTGCGACCGTTCTGGTTGTCCGAGGTAGACCCTGGCACTCACGGCACACTCTACGCAGCTGCTTGGCGGGCTGGCCTACCCAGCGCGTCGCAGGCGCTATCGCGGACGTCAAAACTATACGAGGTGGCTGATAAAACCCTCGCAGTTCTGTGGTTAGGCGGTACCGCATTTTTGCCTCCGGATGGGTTGCCTGCTCGCTCGACCCGTAAGGCGCCGTGGTGGGGGGGGATAGGCAAGCCCACCCGCACTAGTGCGTGCGCGACAGTGTAACTAGATGTACGCGGGGGTAAATCAGCCCCCTTGATATGTACTACCCTGGAACGTCTCACTTCTTTGCGTGCGATGACCGAATCAAAGAGGTTAGCTCAACGAAAAAGTGTGACCATGGTCTGGTCCTGAACTGAGCGGGTCTGACTACACCTTTCGTACGTACCGTAACACGAAGCGTCGACAAAAAGAAGACTAAACTTTGCTCCCCAGCACGTTTAACAAGAAATAAAAGTACTTCCACGTAAGTATCGTGTATTAAGTAAGAACTCTGGCTTAGCCTAGAGAACCTTGAGTTCCCGCGCTGCTCCTGCTCCTGCTACACGATCAAAGTATGAGAAATATTCAACGCCAAAGAGGAATAATGTTACTTTATCTACAGATGTACACACTTTTCTATTTTGTTGAAAATTCACAAAAATCATCTGTTTTAAAAACAAAGTTTATAATGGGAAGAGATAAAAGAAAAATAGTCTGAGTTTCTGCACTCAGACTGGTGAGATTTTCATACTGTGTATCTCTAGGGACTAAGCACCCAACAGGTGGTAGCAGTGGTAGCAGCCGGCTTTTCGCTTTGTTTTGATTTACATTCTAACCTATTGTCCGAGCACGTACGAAACTTCAAATTCTTTTAGTTTTCTTATTATTTGCTTATAGCACCAAACATCAGTTTTCTTCGTTGCCTCACAAGCAGAGGAATTGATTTGGAACATTTGGACTACCTGCCAGTATACTTTTGAATTGTTATAAGTCAATGTGAGTGAGTTATAACATGTTGTGACAATGGTGAGAATTTTGCTGGGACACCTTACAATTTTATCACAAGTTGCCACATGGCAGCAAATCACAGAAAAGAAAGAAATTATGTATAACAATTCTGTAAATGTTAAACAACTAGAGCCGCAACAGCAAGTGAACTGGAAAAATACAGGACTCAACAGCAAATTTCAGATAAACTGCCCTCTGCAGAGAGTGACATTCCTTTTCCTTAATCTTTGTGTTTCAGATGGAACTGCAGTGTGACATTTGTTTTCTCCAGTTTGACCTGGACAACCACCGGCCCAAGGTCTTGCCCTGCGGACACACCATTTGCAAACAATGCGTGGAGAACCCCGCACTAGGGAGAAAGTGTCCAGTTTGCAGAAAGGTCAGTAGATATAAAAAAGTTCTGTGGGTAGGAAATACCTGTTTCTTTTATTGATGGTGACCAAAATATTATTTTATAATAAAATGTTATATAGCATAGAAACAGCCAATGCTCATATTTGTTCTACATCGAGTCATCTTAGCAATAGGGTATTTAAATGGAGCCTGAAAAGGAAGTGAGAAGAACAAAGCCGAATCCTGAGAGCTGGGGGTGGTGGCTGCCGGGCGGAGTGGTGGTGGAGGGGGGGGGGGTACTTTTTACTCCCCGCGTCCACCCCCACCACATATTTCTGGCACCTGCTTTTTTCCCTCTTACTTCCTTTTCGGGCTCTAATCGAAATGCCCCCTTTTGATCACCGGTGCCTCTAAAAGTCAATTGTTTCTTACAGAACATGGCCGTTGGGCCGGACGGTCTTCCCGACAACATCCTCGCGATCCGAGCCATGGAGAAGGAGGCCGAACCGCCCTGCAAGGTGCCCCGACGGGAAGTCCCCGAGGTGAGGCAGCTCCTGCGCGGCGTGGAGGCGGGGAGGAAGCTGGTGCAGGAGCTGCGGCGAGTGGTCCCCATGGCGGTCAAGGCCCTGGACCGCCAGCTGGACTCGGCGGTCGCCCAGCTCCGCCGGATGGAGGAGGCTCTCGGGAAGATGCGGCGAGAGGACGCGGGCGATGCCGCCGAGGGTCTCACGCCCGACCTGGTGCAGGCGGTGGTGCAGCTGGAGGACAGCGTCCGTCTGCTGTCCGCCCACAAGTGCGGCGTTGTCGCCGAGCACGGCGGAGACACCTGGAGGGCCTCCGGAGTGGAGCTGTCGCCAAACGACCACGCGTTACGCCTTCTGCTGCTGCAGCTGCGGTCGAGCAGCCGATTGCAAAAGGTACGTTTGAGATCAGGGTTGTGGGTCTTTTACACCTCACTCGCAGCGGTGCTAATGTCAGCTTGCTCCCGCGCCAGGTTCACGCCGTCGTCGGGCCGCCGAGGCTCTCCGTCCTCTCCATAGAGAGGGATGACATTGACGATGACATGAGTTTAAAGGTAGGCGACATTCTGCAAAACGGCCCGCGCTGGAAAAATATCCGCACCCTCCGCAACCTGAACGGTCACAACACGGAGAAGCTGCTCCGCGTCGTGGCCCCGCACCTGGAGGAGCTGGAGATCAGTTCTGCCGCCCTCATTGGGGAGATGGAAGAGGTGCAGAAAATGACTGCACTGAAAAGACTGCTCGTCGAATGCGATGTCGACTGCGACGCCTACCCGGACCTGCCGCTGCAGCTCGAGGAGCTCTCCATGTGCTTTCCAAGCACAGGCCAGCTGCGCTGTGTCCAGCGCATGCACAGTCTGCGCAGTCTGCGCATAGACTTTTACTGCGGCGATCCCGTCTCCTTCCGGCCCCGGCAGCAGGGCGGGTTGCTGTGGCTAGGCGTGAACATGAGTGTCGACGACAAGAACACGATGCTATCCCTGATCCGCGCCAACGCCTCCTCCTTGCAAGAGCTGCACATTGACACTCACGTCAAGGAAGACGGCAACTTCGACCACTATTTCCCCGATCTGGGCCAGGACCTGGCGACCTGTGACCTACAAGCCCTGCGCCGGCTTGTTCTAAGACGGCCCAACAGTCACTCTCCGTGCGGAGAGGTCGATGCGTGCTTGCTGCAGCGACAGACCATCAGTGGCTTCTTTCCCTCTTGTCTGGATGTTATATGCTATTCGTGTCAGAAATCATATGTTCTGGGGTAAAGACCGTGTTATTGGTATGGCGCGCCGTACCAATGCTTTGTTATGTTTATACTCATCAATGACAGTGATAAAGCCAGCAAAGCGTATCTTCGGGATTATGTTTAGATTTGTTTTTCTGCACGGCTTGTGTAGTTATCTTTCGTAAATAAAAATGACTCAATACATTTCCCTGGCGTTGTTGACTTCTTGGATTTTGCTTAAGTCGCCACCACGGTATGGGATGTTAAGAGCGAAAGGTGCGAAGCGTGGGGTTCCCTAAGCTAGGGTTTGACAGGGGCGTATCGATGGGTTGGACTTCTCGGTGATGAGGTGCACTGTTCGTGTCAGGCATCCTCCAGAAAGTACGTCGGCCATTCGCCATTACGAACCTGCCAAGTTGAACCGCTGCAATAAGCTGTCATAACGCCTCGTAGGTAGGCAACATCCCGCCTTCCGCGCACGCTTGTACAGCGGGCTGGCCCACCTGCATTTCGCAGGCGCCGACCTCCCGTAAATTACCAGAATGAGAAACCGCTGGTTCGAATACTCTAGTAGCTTGTTCGTTTCTCTTTATTTCCCGACTGGACTCGCAAGCAGCCTGCATCGTGGCGTGTCGCAGCCGTACTCGTTTAGTGCGGCACCAGGGTCGCAAAGGTCGCCGATTCGAATCTCTATCAAAGTAAAGCTTGTCGCCCACAAAATTTCGAGTGGACTTCAAACCCATCATTTCACCAGGTCTATCCCTCGTGGAGTTAATACGGCGTAGTGGTTAGCATAGATTCCCGCTCGCGCTGTGTCGACAGGCGCGCGCGTTAAAGGCCGTCCGATGGAGGGGACGATTTACTGCGGATTACCTACTTTCAGGGGTTTTGAAGGACAAATTGCCCACCCACCCTAGAGGGGCGATCGACAGAATCATCAGGCGCACGCCACGCGGAGGCGACGGCCCCGGCGACGGCGCCGCGGCGGGGTACGCCTTCCCGCGACCAATAAAGATTATAGTGTAAGAAGTTGCCGTCTTCTTTTACGTGCCAATGTGAAGCTCTTGCGGGAAACTTGGTTGACGGTTTCTCCGAGCATGTCTCCTGAGAGGTCTACCAGAAAGCACGTCCGTTTTTACTCAGATTCATTCAGGCAATTTACGGGAGCTCAGCGCCTGCTATATGCAGGTAGGCCAGCCCGCAGTACACGCGTGCGTCGCAGGCAGGATGTTGCCTACCTAATAGGCGTTATAATACAACTGTGTAGCTGCAAACAGGGTCGTGTGCCCCCGGGCCCGGGGTTGAGGTTTACGGCCTGTAAGGGCCCCTGCGAGTTAGGCACTCCCGCCGCTCTCCGCCGTGTGTGCGTGTGGCCTATCCTGCCACCGTAAGGCGTTCCTGCGGTGAATTTCACTCAGTGACCACAGAATCCGCTCTGCAGGTCACAGGCTCGTCATGACCCGCACAGCTGGTTTTGAGCAACCTCTCGCCATATCGGGACAAATGGAAATAATAACATAATGGTCTGTCATGCAAATTTCATTAGACAAATAAATCACAATAGAGCACAAAACAAAAATAAAATTACTGCCTTAAACAAAAATGTAAAAGGCTTGGACGGTAATACAGAGCATTAAACATGATTGGGCTTGGTTTACGTGAGAACGACACGATAGGATATAATTCAGTACGAATGTGTTGGACTACGTGCGCTCACTCGGTCATGCTTACACGAGACGTCACCCAAAAGCGTCCCGGGACAGTATTTGATCATATTCGTGGCCATATTTAAATATAATATTAGTGACACTTGTCGCAAACCACTTCCACGGAGGGCAAGAAGTCTTGGACGGTCCGACGCTGCAGCAGGCAGTCGCCGACCTCGAGGCACAGACTTTCGTCGTCGAAGCTGGTCCGCTTGAGCACGATCCGCCGCAGGGCCCGTAGACCGCAGGCCGCCAGGAACGGACCCAGGTCGGGGAAGTGGTTGTCCGAGTCGACCGACTTGTAGTCCGCCTCGATGCGGAGCTCCAGCAACGAGGGGGCACTGGCACGGATCAGGGATAGAATGGTGTCCTTCTGAGGTACGTTGAGGTTCACGCCCAGCCACAGCAAACCACCGTGCAGCGGAGGGTGGAAGGACACGGTGTTGCCGTAGTAAAAGTCCATGTACAGGCTGCGCAGACTGGCCATGGTCTGCACGCAGCGCAGCTGCCTCTCACTGGGGAACCATATCGAGAGCTCCTCGAGCTGCGACGGCAAGTCGGGGTAGTCGTCGCAGTCCTGCCGGCATATGACCAGCAGCCTTTTGAGCGACTTCATTTTCCGCACCTCTTCCAACTGACTCACGCTGGCCACGTCAGATATCTCCAGCTCTTCGAGGTGCGGTGCCAGGACACGGAGCAACTTCTCCGTTTTCTGACCTCTCAACTTCCGAAGGGTGCGTACGTTCCTCCAGCGCGGTCCGTTATTCAGTATCTCATCCACCCTTAGATTACCACTCTCGTCGAGATCAAAGGTTTCTATGGAGAGGATAGAGAGCGTGGGTGGCTTCACAACGGCGTCGACCTGGAGTGCAAACCCGCGAAAGTTAGCAATGTTCGCACCGTATGGTGAGTACCGCACGAGACCAACACACACAACTCTGCTGCTGATAATAACGCACCTTCTGAAGTTGACCGCTCGCCCGCAGCTGCAGCAGAGAAAGGCGAAACATTTGGTCGAGTTCTCCAAACTCCACGGCCGCCTTCCAGGAGGCGCCGCCTTGCTCTGCGACAGTGACGCTGCACTTGCTGCTGGTCAGGAGACGAACGCTGTCCTCCAGCTGCGCCACCAGCTGCATCTGCTTCGGCGTGGGGTCCTCTGCCCCCTCCTGTTCATAGTTCGCGAGAGCCTCCTCCATCTTGCGGAGATGTTCGATCGAGGTGTTGCGTTGGCGTGTGAGGACCTTTGTCGTCTCGGGGAACACTTTAATCAGCCTCTGCGCCAGGTTCTTGCCCGCATCCACGCCGCGCTGCAGCTGCTGCAGCTGCTGCGACTTGGGGTCCTCCAGTCGGCGCCGCTTGCCCGGGTTTGCACCATTATCCCTCTCAATGATTCGGATGGCGAGGTTGTTGTCGGGGAGGGAGCGAGGGTCGGCGACTATGTCCTGCATGAAAATATGGCACCTGAGTTATAATTCGCCAGGTTACACCTTGTTTACAATAAAGTAATAAAGCATTCTTTATAAACAAACATGAAAGTTGAAATGATATACAGGCTCATAAATTTTTTAAAAAATTGCCCCTTTTCTACAGTGACTACAGTTGGCAGATTGTTGAGAACATTTTTCACATTTTAACGTTAAGAGATTTTAGATTAACTGACCTTTCTGCAAGTAGGACACTTCCTCCCCAGGGCAGGTTTCTGCACACACTCCTTGCATAAAGTGTGCCCACAGAACAAGACCTTAGGACGATGGCTCTTCAGATCATACTGGGAAAAGCATATGTCACACTGCAGTTCAGTCTGAAACACAAGAATAAAAGAGGGTTAGGCCCCGTCAACCTTTGTGTTGACATATAGCACTTCTTGGTTATGGGCTGTCCATGAAAAAGGAGACATTCCTGCGACCAAACACAAAAATTAAACTGCAAACAGTGCATTTTGACTTACATCTTGATGATTTGACATTTTCGTAGAACAGATGATAATTGAAGAATCCAAGAGTGGATGGCAGCTGGAAGCCAAGCCAAAGCGTCTCTCCTTAGAGCTCGACAGGTGGTTGTTGTAACGTACCGAAACTAACGAAACCATGGACAATAATCGACAAGTATTCCGAACCCTTTATCCGGTACGTTTTGTAACAAAAGGGCAGAAAACTATCGTCTAGGAAATAATAACACAGCTTGGAGCGAGAAATCAAAACACTCTTCTGCTATCCTCTTGCTGCGTATGAGAAATCGTCAACGCAACGCCAGCAACGCGAGCCGAAGAAACTCATCAATGTAATTTTTGTTTGTTTTTAAGCAAAACTGATTCACTAGAAGACGTAAACGGTCGGTATAAAATTTGCGTTGTTTACAGGAGACGAGAATTTGATAATATACTGAATCTAACACATTACCGACTTTTCATACGTGTTTCGATTTGCCTACACCTAACCTGACATCCGAGTAACTAACTACCTAGCCAACCAGTGATAAGATTACGTGTTTTTCTCTTTTAATATTTGAATAATATCTGTCACTCGCTGAAAATCGAAAAGTTCGTGATAAAAAGTATGTGTGTGTGTAGTGTTGGGGGAGAGGGGGGGGGCTTCTGCTTGGGGCCAGACCAGCATAATGTCCGCCTTTTCCTCACCCCCTCTCGCCTGCAAACTCCTATGCTGCCTGCTGCCCGTGCTGTGAAAAGACGGACCTTAGGCTGGTCTCACTATATTTGCTGTCACCTTTGTGTTTCAGATGGAACTCCAGTGTGATAAATGCTTTGTCCAGTTTGACCTTAACCAGCACCGACCCAAGAGCTTGCCCTGCGGTCACACTCTTTGTAAAGAATGCGTGCGGACTCCGGCCTTTGCAACAAAGTGTCCTACTTGCAGTATGGTCAGTGAAACCAGGGTCGGGGTGTTGGTGTTCTAAGCCGGATTTTGTTTTCTGGTTGGAGGGGGGGGGGGGTTAAGCCGGATTTTGTTGTTGTGGTTATACCTACTGCATGCAGGCATGCTGGCGGGCTTGCCTACTGATAATATGTGTATCGCTATGAAAAGACTAGAGCCCATTTTTTTTCTTACAGCACCTGGCCGCCGACACTGACGAGTTACCCGACAACTTACTAGTCGTCCGGATGATTGAGGATGGCTTGCCAGCCCGGGGCGACGACCCCCAGGTGCAGCAGCTGCGGAGCGACGTGGACGCAGGGAGGAAGCTGGTGCAGCAGCTGCGCCGAATGGTTCCTCTAGCGGTTGCGGCCCTGACCCAGCTACTCGACTCAGCGGTCGCCAACCTCCGCCAGACGGAAGAGGCTTTAGGGAAGTTGCAGCGACAAGGGGCGACAGATGGAAGTCCAACACCAGAACAGGTGCAGCTGGCGGTGCAGCTGAGAGACAGCCTCCAGCTGCTGTCCACCAACAAGTACAGCGTCACCGCAGAGCAGGGCGGGGACACCTGGAGGGCCTCTGGTGTGGAGCTGTCGCCAAGTGACCACGTATCGCGCCTTCTGCTGCTGCAGCTGCGGGCGAGCGAACAACTGCAGAAGGTACGTCTGACATCAGGGTTGTGCGTATGGGCGGTCACGAGGTTGCGCTTATCGTCGTCGCCAGATGGCGCTAATAGCAGCGTCATGCTTTCGCTCCAGGATGACGTCTACATCGGGCCGCCTGGGCTCTCCACTCTTTCCATAGTGGACGATGATTTAAAGGGCGAGAAGTTGAAGGTGGATGACATTCTTCGAGACGGGCCGCGTTGGAAAAATATCCGCACCCTTAAAAACTTAACCGGGAGCCACACGGAGAAGCTATTGCGTGTCCTGGCTCCGCAACTCGAGGAGCTGGAGATTTCTGACGGCGAGGCTCTACCCAGCCAGATGGAGGAGGTAAAGAAAATGACTTCCCTCAAAAGACTGCTCGTCGATTGTGATATTAACTGCAGCGACTACCCGGAGCTACCGCTGCAGCTCGAGGAGCTGTCGATATGCTTCCCCAGCGCCAAACAGCTGCGCTGCGTGCAGCACATGCCGAGGCTGCGTAGCTTGAACATAGAGTTCTACCCTGCTGACGCTCACCCCGTGTTGTTTCGCCCTCCGCTGGCCGGCAGGCTGCTGTGGCTGGGCCTGATGCTCAATGTGGAGCAGAAGGACATGATGTTCTCCCTGATCTCTGCCAGCGCCGCCACGCTGCGGGAGCTCCACATCAATACTTATACCCAAGAGGATGGCGATTTTGACCACTATTTCCCCGAGCTGGGCCCGGACCTAGGGGCATGCGGCCTACTGGCCCTGCGACGGCTCGTCCTGAGACGACCCTTCACCTCCAATCCATGTGACGATATCGACGCGTGCCTGCAGCAGCGACAGACCCTCCGAGACTTCTTGCCCTCCGCGGAAGTGGTATGCTATTCTTGCCAGAAGTCCTATGTGTTAGGGTAGACACCTCCTCTAAAGGAACGTGGAAAGACGCATAGTGCCTGTTTTCGTTCAGCGGAAACCTTGCCAAAACGTATAGGGAGGGCTTGAAGCTAGACACAAATGTCTGAAATCATTGCCTTCGGGGTTCTCAGCTATTATTTACAGCTTGTATACGAGCCATTTAACAAGGCCATTTAAAACAAAAATTAAATACTATTTTTTAAAAAGCTCACCCTCTAGCGCTGTTGACTTTTCAAATTTGGCGGTCCCAAACTAGCAGCGTCCAGCGCCTAGAATGGCACTTCCCTTCCCTGTCGCGTGCCATGCCATGGCGCGGCGCCCACGAAGCGCGAAGCCGCCCGAAGCAGGGGCATGGGTCCGCGCTTTATACGTGATATGATACTGTGTGTGTGGGGGGGGGGGACGTTGGGCCTGGGAGGCTCGGCCCCGCCCGACGACACCGCCCCCAGTTGTGTAAGCCGGGTCGGCCCGGGCCCCTGCGAGGTAGGCGCGCCCGCCACGCTCCGCTGTCGTCCGTCTGTAGGTGTGGCCTATCTCGCCTTCGTAGGGCGCTTGGCCCTGAGTACCCCCACAACCACAACCCATCACATTGACTGTCAAATCGGCGCATCGTATCATCGGCATCCCCCTTTTCTTTCGGACGTGTTAGCCCAATGGAAGCCCCAATCTCCACTCCCCAGCATGGAACAAGAGAAACAACAGAAATAATCAAGAATAGAAGAGAACATTCTAAATATATTTTGAAATGAACACCGTCAACAAGGGATTCTTTACATAACAGATATTACAGTTTTAACAATGGCATGGAATGCCCAAATATGTTTGATGGGCTCTATGCTCTTTAGGAAACGTCAACACTTGCATATGTTTGCTTGAAACAATTACATAAATAACAGCTACTTGCGGGCACTTTATCTCTCTGGCAGTTTAGTTATTGAAACACAACCTAGTATAACAACACTAACAAGGCCTTAATTTAGATCAAATTAATTTTAAACAATTTTCACAAAACAACAACATTTGTCACATTGTACAGAAACAAATACAACATGTTTACCGAAGTGTATATGAGCCTCCAATAATCTTTCTTGTCCTGAAAACACAGAGGCGGAATCAATTTAAGTACAGTACCAACACAAATATTTGAGAAAATAGCAATTGCCATATGTTGAGAGAAATTTATGTGAAACAAAAATACCAATAATTAACAAAGCCAGATCAACCTTATAATACAGAATTTGTTGCAGATAAATACTCAATACTATCTTATGATTGCGATATGTACTGAGTTGAATACTTTTGTTTTCTTGTAGTACACAACAAAAAATCACTAGGGCGGCCATGAAAAGTCTTCCTTTTAAAGTGGTGAAATCCTTTTCGCATGAACAAAATTTAGTCAAACTTTTGTCACTTGATATTAAGTAGACATTGTTCTGTCCCTTCAGTAGAGGGGGAAAAAAATCTGTTGCGCTCAATATATTGATACACTTTATTTACTACCGCATTTTTTTCAATATTAGCTTTAGGCCGGCTCCTCCAAAACATATGTTGTAAAGGGGGTAAAACTGCCGGACACTGAAGGGAAAAATTTCCTTTCAAAAATACATATAAAGAGACGCAACCCATCCCTCTTTGTCAAATTTTGTGCATTGACCACAATGTAGTAACAACACTAAAATCTTTGTAATACATAGCTGGATAATTTCAGTCTTACAAAATAAAGTTCTAAAAACAGGACACAATAACGGCAGTTAAAATTTCATGTATGAAATGGTTGTGGAATGATCTGAATGAAACAAGATCTAAGATGATTTATGTCACTTGTCAGTTTCTCTGCAATGGGAAAGAGGTCAATAAGACAAAATATTTCTTAAGTAGATGGAAACTCTCAGTGGCGCTCAGAACCGATATGTTTTCAAAATTGCTGCAAAATAGTTCTTAAGAGGCGTGCAGAGCTGGCTTTGAACGTCAGTAGAGGATGATATTGCCAGATATTGTAGATATTGCCAACAGTGCACAACGACTTGAAAGGTGCCTTTCCATGATCCAATTAATGATAAATGTTTGAGGAGGAACTTTAATTTTTGGGACAAAGGCCTCTACACAATAACCTACCATATTGCTCATGATACGATTTATTTAATGGATAAATTGAAGTATGGCAGAACTTTCTACATTTGACGCACTCCTTGGGAAGAAATTGATCAACTTAAGACAATATGTCTGAATTAAAAGCAGATAAGTTTTCAGTACTATTGGCACTCCTACAGCTGTTGACTTCCAGTCACTTTTTTCAGGCTAGATATATTGAATAAAGATAATTATTACTCAGTGCACTTTATATTGTCATTGACAATGATTACGCTTACACAAATTTAAACCAATGTCAAAAGTAATGCGCAAAAATCCTACACAGGAACTGGAGATCAGGTTGTACAATATGTAAGAGAGAGAAAAGGAGGAAATTGGGCTGACAATTAGGAGACAATGAATATGAACGTAGGTTGTACATAAAGTACTCTCATAATAAACAGCCTTTGTATAATAATGGTAATCAATAGCAGTAATCATAATAGTAATATTAATAATAACTATTTCAACAGTTACATAAGTCTGTAAAACAACAGGGAAAGCCCATTATAAGGAAACAATTGATGATGATCCACAATAAAACTTGGATTAACAACACTTATTATGAGGCAATGTATTGCTATTAAACTATTGCAATCATAAATATCAAATAACAACAAACAACTTTGATGGAACAATGAAATTTCACTTTCTCTCACTGCTCTCACTCAGTCCTCAGTGTCTTTGCATTATTCAGGCCCTTCAGGTGAGGAGTGCTCATTCTAAAGGGAAAGAAATAACGCATATCATTAATTTACATTTTCCAAAATGCAAAACATTAAAATGTCTTAAGCCAAACACAATTGACGGATTATTTACCTGGGAAGCTACGCTGCTGCGGTTGCTGCGGCTCCCCGACACGTCCAGGTCCATGCCGAAGGGGCGGGCCTTGGGCGGTCTGGCGGGAGCAGCGCCACGGGGCCCCGTCGGAGGTCCGGCCGTGGGTGCAGGACCGGAGGCGGCGCCAGGAGTGAGGCCGGGGGCCGGGCCGGCGGTGGGCGCCGCGGAAGAGCCGGCGGGCTGGCCGTGCCGGTGCTCGGTCTCGTGGCACTCGCACCGACAGTCCTCGGGGTCCACGTAGTGCACGTGGTGGTGATGCTGGTGGCCCGACGACGGGGTCCCCGTCCCGGCTGCGGCTGGGCGGCTCCCCGCCCCAGGCGTTCCTGGCTCGGTGACGATGGAGCCCCTCGACGGGATGGTCTGGATGCGGACCGGGGCCTTGCGCTTCTCCGGCACCTCGTCAAAGTTGATCCACGTCGAGGGTGGAGTCTGCAATCAGCGAGAGGGTCAAGGGTCACTACGACCGCGGCAGAGGGTGGAGAGCGGAGTCGGCCGGGTGACACTCACCGTGGACGGCGCCCTGGGCGGTAGCGGCGGCGGAGGCGACTGCGAGTCACTCCGCGGCTTGAGCGCCTGCGAGGCGAAGTCGTGCCACGGCCTGGTCTGCGGCCGCGACCGCCGCGTCAGGGAGTCGGTGCGGGGCAGGCTGATGCGGAGCTTCTCCCGGCCGCCGGCGCCCGCGCCCGCTGCAACCGACACGAACAGGGGGTCGTCACGGCGCGGGTGTGGTGTGGCTGACAAACTGCTAGCAAGCCGCCCGTCCCAAAGCCAACAACAAACAACAAACCCCCCGGCCCCGAGCGGCGCTAGCCGTGCGCTAGCTGTGCGTTACCCCACCCTGCCCCGCGCGCCTGGTGGACCTGGCCCCGGGGCGCACGGTGGCCTCGGCGGCGCCCGTCTCGTGCGTCAGTGCCTGCGCGGCCTAGACTAGGCGGCGTGGCGCCGGGTGCGGAGCGTAGTGCCGAAAATGGTGCCAGCCGTCATTCTAACAGCCAGCGGACCAAACCAAATGCCAGGAATGAAAACAACAAAACGAAATAAAGAACACCACACAAGAGCGTTGTTTTTTGCGAGTTTCTCAAGCTGCTGAAGCATAAATTGGAAATGCGTTGCCCCGCGCTGGACGGCTCGGCTGGCGCTAGCACTGACTGGCTTTTGACTTGGACGCGGCCCTGCGTGGCGCTGCGAGCCGATCTAGAGCTGCTGGTCGAGTTGTGTCTTACTGCCGAGGTTTGCTGGGCTTGTCCTGGGCCTAGGGGTCACGCTCTGCTCCGAGCACTCCCGCCCCTCCCTCGACGCGGTCTCCCTGGCCGCCCCCGCGCCGCCCCCCGTGCGGCCCCCCCTGGGGCCCTTGGCTCGGGCCTCGACTAGGGCGCCCCCACGTACACAGGCGTTGCAGCAGCAGGTGCAGCAGGGCGTGGAGCAGGACGTGCAGGGCCAGCTGCAGGAGGGCGGCCGCCACGCCGCGCCGCGACACGGCCCACGCCAGGCACCAGGACAGCGCCGAGCACGCCACGCACGCCCACGCCCAGGCGCGCGCGGCCGCCGGCGTGAGGTGCGTGAGCTGCGCGAGCACGCCTACAACAGGGCAGTGTCAACAGCTGGCCCTCGGCCCGCCTCGCCCCCCCGGCCGGGCGCGCCCTCGGGCAGAGGGCGGCCAGCGGCCAGGCCGACAGGAGGGCGGCCAGGACACGCCGTGGAGGCGGCTCTCCCCCTCCCCTCCCCTCGCCAGCCCCCGCGTCCCTCCCCCGGTGCAGTCGTCGTGCACTTACCCGATGCGGGGGACGCTCCAGCGCCCGGGCCTCCGCCGGGCACCACGTACTCCTCCAGGGAGGAGGGGTTGATGGGGGTGGTGCTGCGCGGCCTGTCGATGGGGCACGTCTTCACCTCGGCGGCCAACCGCTCCTTGACGGGGACCAGCGGCACCGCCACAGACCTGGAAGCGAGAGTTAGTGTCCAACCGAAACAAAATGTCACTGCAAAGCGACGTCGATTTCCTTACCTCTCCATGGGCAGGGTCACGGGCACGTACGGGAGCTCGTCGTCGAACGAGTCCTGCTGCAGCACCAGCCCTTTGGTCTCGTGGTCCTCCTCCGCGTCCTCCTCGCCCTCGGGCCGCGGTGCCGGCGGCGGCACCACCTCCCGCTCGGAGCCGGACGAGTGCCTGGAGTGCCGGTCGTCCTCCACGCTGCCGCTGCCAGGAGTAGCCAACAACGTCACGTTGCTGCTGCGAGGAGCGCGAGGCGCCGGGAGGGCGAGCGAGCCCGTCGCGCACGGGAGCATGGCGGGCTGGCCTACCCTCACGGCGCTCCCCGTCCGCACGGCGCTTACCTGAGGTTGGCGTTGGCGTCCAGTGGAGGCGGCGGCGCCGGCCACGAGTCCCTCGACGCGGACTTTTTGGGCACCGCAGGTGGGGGAGGCTCCGCGGAGGGTGCCGGGGGCAGCTCAGTCGATGGGGCGGTGGCGACCGGATCCTGCGGGCAACACGACGATAACTTACCACACGAGTACAATTTGCGTCACAAGAATTCAGAAAATAAATGTTTAAGAAAGTCGTTTCTGAAACGATTGAAATTTGAGTGATTTCGTGTTATTCCAAGCAATTCGTTTCCGGCTACTAAAATACGACTACATCTACGAAACTCAGCACAAGCAAACCCCATACGGCCTCTTCCTGCCTGAAGAACATACCTTGGAGGCACAGCGGATGGGCGAACCGTTGACGAACGAGTCCCCAAACGCGTCCAGAATACTTCCCGGAGGCGTACCTGAGGGTGTGCCCGAGGGCGTACCCGGAGGTGTGCTCGGGGGTGTACCCGGGGGTGTGCATGGAGAGGCGCCCGGGGGCGACGAGGCCGGAATGTTGACGGACACAGAGGGCAGAGGAGTGACGTCCACGCCGTCCAGGGCGTCTGGCGCACACTCCTGTGACAGCATGCAGCCGCTACACAACCACACTCCATGCGACCAATACGCTACTTATTGGTTCAAGCCGGACAGACAGAGACAAACAGACGGCTGAGTAGACGGACGGGCAGTGAGAGAGACAGAAATAGGCAGATTGACTTTGGTAAACGTGTTGAAGGGATTTGTAGAGAGAGAGAGAGAGATAGGAAAGACGAAAGATCTTCAGAGACTGAAAGGCTATATCTTGCTAATGATTTTCATGCGACACAAGTTAGTACAAGAATAAAGGCAAACCACGAAGCTATTCGTTTCTCCCTGGCCAAGTAGAACGAAGAGAAAATGGAAGAAACGATTCAACCGCTAGGAGACGCACTGTAAACGGGAACATGCCTCTCAAACTCAAGAAGGTCGACGCTACGAGGATTCAACGAATGAAATAGCCATGCGAAAAAACTTTACTAAGTTATTCTGACGCTTTTCGCACCCCCACCTTGTAGCTCGCTTCGCAGGTGAAGGTAAACTCGACGCCCTCGATTGGCAGCACCGGCGGCTGTGGCGCGGAGTCCCTCCCCGGGGCCGGAGGCGGCGGCAGCGCGGGCGCCTCGGCTCGCTCCTGCGGTATGGACTTCTTTCTGAACAGCGTCGAGAAGACGCCACCTCCGCCACCGCCGCCGCCACCTGACTCCCTGGCCGCGTCCCTCTGCTCGAGGCCTGCCGCCGCCGCCGCCATGGCCGCCGCCCTGCCGCCGTCCCTGCTCTCCCGTCGCTGCTTGCCGGACTCCCCGGGCAGGGCTGCGCAGGAAGGGGACCCCTGAGTCTCCGTGTCAGCTCCAGCCAAGGCTCCAGTGACGCCGGGCTCATGCTTACGCGCTTGCTGGTGGCGGTCGCGACTCTTGCCGCGCACGTCCTTGAGCAGCCCGACCATGGCGGGCGCCGCGGAGGCGCGCCTCTGCTTGGCGGGGGCGGCCGGCATCTCGTCCGGGCTGTGCACCTCGGCGCGCCGGAACAGGATGGACGACAACGACGCCTTGCGCCCCGCCGACACGGAGGACGCGGGCGGCGGCGCGGCCGGCGGGGACGGGCTTCGCGACGACTGGCCATCGACCTCGCGCCGCCGCTGCCTGGGCGACGTGCCCGTCTGGGCGTCGCCCAGGTCCAGGGTGGCCGGGGTGGCGGGCTTGGACCGCAGCGGGTCGTCCACCTGTGCAAGGGCCGAGAGGTCAGAGAGGGGCGTGGCGCGGAGGGGGCGCGACGTGCGGTGCCGGCGGTACGTGGGTACGTGAGACGCTGTCAAAAGTCATGCAGTGCAAGGGGTGGAGAGACAGATGGGAACGTAAGAAAAGATGTCCAAAACAAAAGTTCCGTCTCGAGGATATGTCTTAACGTGCAGACCGGCGGTTCTTCCCCGACGCGATGCCGGCCCGGCGGGGTGCTTGACGTGCCGTAGGCTCTCTCTCCCGTCCGCCCGCCCGCCTGCCTCGGCCTGGACTGGGTGGGGCTTAACTCACCTGCGGCCCTCGCTGACCCTGCTGCTCCTGCGGGTCCGAGGGAGTATTCCGGCCGTGCGAGTGCCAATCCAGTTGCGACGGCGTCAGGCGGCCCTGCTGGATGGCCAGGTCGCGGCGAGTGAAGCACACGCCCGTCTCCTCCACCGTGTCCGGGTCGGTGAGCGGCACGATCTGCAGCTGCTCCATGCGCTCGGAGCGCGCCGACCCGGGCCGCGAGCTGGCACGCGAGGTGGAGCCTGCCCGCGACCCGGTCCGCGACGCGGAGGAGCGCGCGTCCGACGCCTTCCTGGGCCGCTCTCTCGCGGCCCGCGCGGCGGCCGCGTAGCCGGCCAGCTCTGTCTCGCTGTCGCTGTCCGAGTGGAGCGGTATGATCCTCACCAGTTCGTCGCCCGTGTGGCCCGGCGTCAGGCCCTGCTGGGGCTGCGTTTTGGGGTCGGACCTCCTGCGCCGGCGCACGGGCTCGGAGCGCGGCACCGTGTCCACCACGCCCGGGGACGGCAGCGGGCTGCGCGGCGACCGGTCCAGCGAGGAGGGCGCGCGCGGCGACCTGTCCCTGTTGGCCTCCCTCTCCTCGTCGTCGCTGTGCAGCGGGATGATGCGGACCAGCTCCTCCTCCGGAGGCATCATCGGCGACTTCTTGCTCGCGGCCGCGTCAGCCCTGCTAGGGCGAGAGTCCGCTTTTGTTCTACCGGTGGTCGCCAGGGCGGGGGGCTTTGGTTTCGGGGCCCCACCCGATGCCGGCTTCGGGGGAGGAGGCAAGTCACCCTTAAGTGGAATGATCCTTACCATGTCGTTCTCCTCGAACGAGGGCTCTCTCCATTTGGACATGTCGATCTCGTCGACAATGCTGTCCACGCCCTCGCTTCCCTTTGGCCCTTTCGGAGCAGGCAGGTCCGTGGGGAGGTCATCCTCGCCGTACCCCTCGTAGCTGTCCTCAGAGTGTAGCGGGATGATCCTCACCAACGCGTTGGGATCCACTTTCCGCCGAGGCCCGCGCGGCCGGCCTGGAACTCTCTGCGTGGCGGCAGGTTCACTACCCCCAGCCCCTGAAACACCCGATGGACCCGCCCCCTCATTCACCACAGGCAGGGGAGATCTAGGCGGTTGCGTTGACGTCGCGGGTTGCGGCGATCTTGGTGGCAGCGGCGATTTGGGTGGTTGGGGTGACGGCGGTGGTTGTGGGGACTTTGGCGGTAGTGGAGACAGCGGTGGTTCGGACCGTTCGGACCGACTTTCCAACGGCTTCGTCGTCTTCAAAGTAATGGGTGGTGATATCGAAGGTCCATCCGTCGGTGACTCCAAATTGGGTGGTGGTCTCTCGTCCTCGCTGTACCCATCGTAGCTGTCCTCCGAGTGCAGTGGAATGATTCTCACCAACGCGTTCGGGTCCACCCTCCTGCCGCGGCCTTGCCTCACCTTTCCGGGCGCGCGGGGAGCACTCGTGCTCCCGATAGGCGGTGGCCTCGGCCCCGGTGGTGCCCGCGAAGGCCCCGCCGCGCCCTGGTCCCCAGCGGGCCTTGGTGGCGGGGCTTCGGCTGGCCTGGGGGCCCCCATCGCGCTCGGCTTGGGCTCCGGGCGCTTTGCGGGGCGGACTCCGCCCGGCAGGCCGAGGTCATGTAAGGTCTCGTCCAGCGGGGGAACGGGCGGGCCGGTGTCGTCCTCACCGTACCCCTCGTAGCTGTCCTCGGAGTGCAGCGGGATGATCCTCACGAGGGCGTTGGGGTCCACTCTCCGCCGAGGACCCCGCCTTCCTGCGGTGCCCTCGCCTCCGTTCTGCGGTGACTTTGTCGGCACCTGCGGACATCGCACGGGTATCGGCGACCTACCCTGTGGTGACCTCTGCGTGTGCGGCGACCTGGCCGGCTGAGGCGACAGTGACGGTTGTGGCGATCTGGGTGGTTGTGGCGAGAGCGAAAGCTGTGGGGGCTGCGGGGAGAGCGATGGCTGTGGGGAGCGCGGTGGTTGTGGCGAGCGCGACGACGCTGATGTCCTGGAGGAAGGGCGCTCCCCCTCCAACACGGCAGTCGTCTTCTCCAGCTTTGGTTCCGCCACGGGCCTCTTTGGGGACGGGGTACTCCTCGGGGTTTGTCTATGCGGCCCTGTTGTCCCCTCCGATTCTCGCCTCTCCCTCTCCTTCTCAGCCACCTCCACGGACGCGGTTCGCAGGGGGATGATCCTGACGATGTTGGGGTCCTCGTCCTGGCTCACGTGCGTCTCCAGCCAGTGCCGGCGCTGCACCTCCAGGTCCTCCACCGCGTCGACGCCCTGGTACCGTCGCTGCACGTCGCTCTCGCCGACCTGGTCGTCGTCCTCGCTGTACTCCTCGTCCGAGCTGTGCAGCGGTATGATCCTCACCAGAGCGTCCTCGTCCTTTTTCGACTTGCTGCGCGGCCGGCCCGCTCTGCGCTGCTTCTTCTCGGCCTTCTCCTTGTTCCGCCGCTCCTTCAGCTTGTTCTCCAGCTCCAGCCGCATCTCGGCCTCCGCCTCCGCCTTGAGCTCCAGCTCCTTCTCCTCCATCTTCTTGACCTTCCTCTCCTCCCACTCCCTGACCTTGGCCTGCTCGCTCTTGAGCGGAGCGGCCTCGTCCCGGTCGTACGGCCTCTGCTTGGGCTCCTTGCCCTGAGCGCGCCGCACCTCGTCGGCCCGCTTGGCTGCGATCTTCCTCGCCTGGCGCTCCCGCTCCTCCCTGTCCGTCAGCGGGGAGCCCTGCGCGGACAGGGGCAGGCCTTCCTGTGGGGCGGCGGCCGCGTGAGCTTCTCCCTCTAGCGCGATTTGCCGCTCCATAGTCCGCCGCCTCTGTCGCTCCGAGTCGCCGCCCTGGCCTGGGCTCTGGACCGCGGAGTGCGGGCTCGCACCGCGGCCGAGGCTGGGGCCCGGGCTGGCACTGGCGCCGAGGACCTTGACGACCTGTGACGCCGGCCTCACTCCGCAGAAGGACGTCTCGAGCAAAAGCTTGCCCGGCGATGGTGAGCGCGAGGGTGCCGCCGAGGATGCAGCGGACCTCCCCGACCTCCCTGATGCGGCAGATCCCACCGACGACAGGCGGCTCGTCAGGAATGCGACCTCCGCGCTGCACGTCGAGTCCTTGCGCTCCTTGGAGTCGGACGGCGCCAAATCAGCTTGGCACTGCAACAGAGAGATGTGGTCAGGAGATCCCACATATGGTGAATGGCAGACGGCTATTGCGGCTCTGTCGCACTCGGACATAAAAAAGGTCTGTGAAATTCCAATACTTTTGCATGACTTAAATGGGTACATGTACTACAGTGAAGGGTAAAGAGCGAGGGGGAGGGAGGGAGAGGGCACGTTTTCTTTTGGTAGAGTAGTCTTGAGGGGACTGTCTAAAAAGATGACACTCACATACATGCGAGTAAAAGCCGACAGAGCTCATTGTATAGAGAAGAAGTGTAAAATCTCCCATCTTTCCGTGTTGAAGATATTCTCACAATTGTCACGAAGTTTTTTGTATGAGATTTTCGGTATTGGAATTGCACACATTTGTAGCGTTGGCATCTGCCACCCCTCCTTACCGACTGCGTGCTCTCCTTGCGTTGTCGCTTCTGCGCCCGGCGTCGGCGCTCTTGGTCCTCGACGGTGCCGGGCTCCTCTAGGAACTGCAGCTCCTCGGTAGAGGAACGCAGGTCCTCAGTGCCCTCCTCGAGGAAGCCTAGTAGCTTGGCCTCGCCCCCGCCGCCGCTGCCGACCGCCGAGTCGCCTCCTGCAACAACCACCTCATCAGTGCTGCGGAATTCGGACATGGTGCTGAGTTAATTCATCTCAAGGACAGCGCCCGCGGTTGAGAAAGGGATGGAAAACGAAAAAAACAAAA